CAACCAGTCCAACTGACACCCCACCAGGTGGTTCTCTTGGACGGGTATACTCAGGGCTCCGGAAGGCAAGAATACACAAAACTTGGTTGAGAGCTATTACTAATTTCTTCAAATTTTCTCTCCCCAATCAGAATTTCCTTAAACTCTTAATCTCTGATAAAAGTCCTTATGTGCCTCTGCCCTATTTCAAGGCATCCTACATCGTTACTCTTCCAGCTTAGTATGGTAGCTGAGACTTTGAGTCTGGAGTCAGATAGACACTTTTGCGCTGGGTAAGTCTCCCTTAGCCTCAATTGTCCCCAGCTGCAAAAAGGTGACAGTAATAGTTTCCTTCTTGCTGGGTTGTAGTATTAAATGAAATAGTGCATGTGACGTGCTTAGCATGATAGCCGGCATCTGGCTAACAATTAGTAAACGAAAGCAATTATTAACACCATGCCAGTCACACAGTGTACAACCACTGCCACCACCAAGGACATATTGAGTGCTAACTAAAATGAACCATTGCTACTGGTGATGGAGAATTGCAACCTGCCTACCCAGCTTTCCTGCTTTCTTCAATGTGCATTTATTAATTAATTACCTATATTCTCTAAAAGCAGGGGATCCCTAATTGCTCTCTTTTCCTCTTCATTGGGTTTCTGCTTTAGGACATCTTTTTAAAAGCCTGATCTTTATTTTCCTTCTTATCAGCATTCTTTCCCACCCTGCATCTGGTCCCTGGCTATTCTTCCAATTGCTGAACTGGAAGGTTATCAGAAGCCCTTGCTGGTGTATCTCCCTCATTTTCATCATCGGTTTTAAGTCAACCTCACCAAAGATCTGTATGTCACCATTTTTCTAAACCGTTATATAACCAGTATATATTTTCTGGGGTGAAGCTGTTCCTTACAGTCTTAACTTCCAGTAAAAAACATTTTATGGGCGCCTGTTTCATGTACTGGAGATCCAAATGCCTTACCACCCCCTTGACAATCCTGATCTGTCTCTTGCACAGTTTGTGCTGGAATTCGGGGGCCTTATGTCTCATCAGTCTACCAGTGAGTGGAGACGTGGGGAGGAGAAGCAGGGACACCCTTCCCTATTCATATTCCTGTCTGGATGGAATGACTCTGCACAGAGACTCCCAAAGCTGGATCTTGCAGATGAGGCTTATTATATGGTAAAATACCTCAACCAGGGAGCCAGGGGACCTTTGGAGATAAAAGATGCAAAAAGGAGTTAATGCTCGCTTCCTTTTGAACCTGAATGTGTAAATGCTGGTGTGCGGGCAGCACAGTGTCAGGTTTTACCAGTGGACGAGGGGTTGAGGCCAGACTTGCCACCTGCAGGAGGTGCACCAAGGTGTCCTGGACCTTGACAAGCAGGGAGTAGTGCTCTTGGTGTCCTGGTGCTCATCCCAGGGGAAGGGAGATTTTTCTTTTGCGGGGAAATGCTGGGTTGGTGGCCCTCACATGATGCCTTTAACCAAAAAGTGCTCTGAAACCAAAGTGAAGGCTGAAGCTCTGGGATTACTTCCAAATAATATAAAGTTGTAAGAAATTTGCATTTCAAAAGAAAATGCAAAATATAGAATTATCTGTGTCTTGTATATCTTCATAATTAAAAAAAGAGAGTGAAATTATTCAAAGTTGGTATAAGAACTCTGGGTAATGGCTCCCAAGGAAATCTTGCTCAGCTAGCCATTTTGGGGGGCAATTTGCCATTTCTCTGAATTGGATGCATTCTTCCTTAGGGACTGTGACAACAAGGGAATGCCCAGGATCACACAGTAGGCACAGGTAGAAAAGTTCAACATTTTTTTTGGTGGCATTTGGCTGGTCTCCAACACTAATAGAATTTTGGCCAAAATTGCGTATTGTTGGCTCTTTCAAAATTATCAACAGAGTGTTCTTGATGTTTTAATTGCACGTGATTTCTTGTCAGCAGCACAAGGAAGGTCATAAAATCCTTTACTCACTTTCCCCAATGTCAGAAAAACCTTGGCACCACCACGAGATCCAGCTTCTGACAGCTGCAGTGCATACCTGCACCTTAAGGGTGCCCAGTGGGCAAAATGGCCAGTTGAGTTAAAGTCAAGGACAAATCTTGTAAGTAGATGTAGCTTGTTTCACATTTTTTTTTCTTTTGGCACAAAATACCGGGAAGGTGTGCATAGTTCATGTGTAGCAGCCTGTATAGCCTATGGTTAGGAGGAGTGAGAGTTAAAAGAAATACCTGTATTAGCTCAATAATGGAACACCTTGGTGAAAAGGGCATGGAGAGGGATTTAGCTCTGCAAACAAACATGAGAGCTCATGAGATGAGAGCATTGGTGAACTGGCAGTCTCTATACCTGTGGTGTTGAGAGGCACAAGATCAGCCTTATACTAGGCTGGAGGAGAAGGCAGTAGGGAGCGTGTGCATTCTATTGTGGACCCACACGGACCTGCTTACTCTGACTCTGTCTCCTCTCCTGCCTGCAGAACACCAGCACGGTGTCTCTCTGCTAAAGATCACTAAGCTCTGCTAAAGACTAAGATCTATCTTTCTAAGAAGACTGCTTTACTCTAAGACTCTCTCTCTTCTGCTAAAGTAGATAGCCCTCAGCACCTAAGAGAAATTGTTCCTGAGCAAGGTAGCTTAGCGGTCCATGTCCGGAACCTAGTTAAGCCAGGCCTGAGACCCGGCCAGTCCTGGGACCTGAAAAGTTGTGTCAGGAGTGGGATGTGACACTCATGCCCCTGGTTTCTACAGAAGATGTGGCTTATAACCTAATGGACTAGGGATGCCCTCACACATCTTTTAGAAATTGGTTACCAAAGGCCAGCTTAAAATGGTGCTCACAAATATAGAAGCTAACTGTCAAATTAGCCCATGGTTCTTACTTAGCCTGGGCATCCCTCTCCCTGCAGCCAGCCAGGGCTTTGTAACAGTCATCACCAAATTCTATGATCACATACAATAGTATAACAAAGATGCACTAAATACATAAAGTAGGTGGGAAAGCAAAACAAGAAAATTCCTGAGAGACCAGTAGACCAGTGGATGTCCTGAGACTCACAAAATAACTACCAGGGAAGCTAAAGGGTCGAGCCTATGAGACCAATTTGGAAACCACACCAGCACCACTGTCCACATGAGGCAGATCACTTAATAGCAAAGAGGGATTCCATGGTTGAAGAGCCCTGGCTTACCTTCCTTTCTTCATTTATTCTTTCTCTTCTCTTGCACCACACTGTTCTGATTTCCTTCCTTATTCTCTGTTCCTGGACCCGCACCCTCCTGCTGTCCTGTGAGTGGGGGGCGCTCAGGGCTTGGCCCATGGTCTATGTCTCTATCCACACTCACTCCCTGGGTGACGTCATGCCCAGTCCCACAGCTCTACCATCTCTCAACACCTGGAGAAGCCCAAATTTCTGTCTTTGATTCTCACCACTCTTTCAACTCCAAACTGGTACATTCAATCTAATTTCACTTAAAGGAGAAATTTAAAATACAAGCAACAAACAAAGCACCTGAACAATCACAAAAGCATATCAGATGGATCAGACAGAGTATCTCACGTCTCACGCATTTGTCTGAATTATGTGGCTATGCATTTTATAATCTGAGCACTGAGGAAATGCCTACATAATTTTTGTGTTTCACCTATAGTTAGTTGTAAGCTCAATGCTGTATTTTCTTATGTACATAGTCCCCAGGTTTTGAATGGGTTGTGTTTCAAAGCTCCCTTGGTAAATTAATATTCTGGGTCTTAAGTCACAGTTTTTTAGAGAAGTATGGCAAGACCATCAGTTCTCTACCTTCTCCTGCCCTGCTGGCTGACAGCACCAGCTCAGGTCAGGCTCTCAAAGCCAATCTTAGTTCATTCCAGCACCCTGAGCTTCTGGCCTCCTCTCTGCACCCACCTCTCCACACCTGCACCACTGGGGCCACAGAGACCTTTCTGGAAACATCTCCCATCACGACTGCTCAGAAATATTAGTGGTTCCTCTCTGTCTGCAGAGCTTAATAGAATTTTTCACCATCAGGCAGGGCAGGACCTAGAAAAGGCCCATTGCGAGAATATCAATGGCACTTAGAATCTGAGACATTGCCTTGCTTAGTATAGCTTTAGTAACCACCTATTTCCCTGTGGTTTAAAGCCCACACAGCTGAAAATAATAAACTTTTTCCCTCTGGAAAGAGAATCAAGTATTGTATTTTGCAATATAAACAGTAGTTACCTTATATTTAAAAAATTTCAGAATGGCTCCTGGTTCTCTAGAAAATAATCCATATGCATTTCATAATTTGGAATTAACCCTAAGTTTCTGCTTTGAACACTCATTTGTTGGATAAAATACACACTTGCAATGGTAAAAGAATTGTAAGCAAATGAATACCCAGACTTAAAACCAAACAAAACTATTTTAGCATTCACAGTAGACCACAGTGGACAGATGTTTAAATCACAAACCCAAACATTGAGACAGAAATTGGGAAGCAGAACTTCAGGTATAAAATTTTACTTTCAAATGTCCTTAGCAGCACAGGGACAAAAGCTCTGTGCCCTCTGGCGCACGTAAAGACAGACTGGCCACACCACAGACAAGACAAATGCATTAGACCCTTCACTAAGAGTCTGAAAGCGTTGGAAGGAATAAAATTCCTATTATTTTCTGAAATTGAATTAAAAGGTTAGTACAAAACCAAAGATGTACCAAGAGTCAAAATTAGAATTAGAGGGGATCAGTTTCTGGTTTCAAGCTTTGACTTTGGAAGAAACTTACCCAGATGTTATTGCAAACTATCTGTATGATATAAATGATCCAAGTGTCCTTATTCCCAAGTGTCCAATTCCAATTTACATTATGCCAGATGTGTAAAATCTGTTATTGTTATGTATTTGAAAATATAAGAGCACACTCAAATGTGACTTATTCTTGTTTTTAGAATCTGATATCTACTTTCTGAATTCTCACTTTGATCCCAGAGGATTGAGGAAATTGAAAAATCAAAATCTTGACTCTCCTTACCTGATGTTGGCTCAATGGTAAAGGCTTGGTGGGACAGTATCAAAGTAATGTGGAACTCGAAATCTACGGGGCAGCTGCACTGCAAAGGAATAACATAGCTCTTGCTGCAAAACAAACAAAAAAGAAAATTAAAACATTACTTTTCTTTACAACTAGCTTTTTTAGTAGCAAGGAATAGAGACTAAAGTTATACATACAATGCACACAACAGTGTGGGCATACAACAGCCCACACTGACCCAGTGCTTCCTGTGTGCCAGAAGCTGTCTTATGCGTTCCCATTATTGACTATTTGAACCACAGGAGGAGGAGGTGGTGCTAGGATTATTCCCCACTTATAGAAGAGGCAACTGAGATGCAAGAGGGGGAAATGTTCTGCACGAGGTGACATGGCGGGTGAGTGGCAGAACTGGGATTCAATGCAGGTACTGGGCTTGGTGTCTGCACACCTGACACCACTGTCAAGCTCCTTCTCACACACAGTGAGGTTAATCCTCCAGAGACCGAGAAACAGTGGAAAGGCCTCAGAGAAGCAAGGAAATGTGGAACAGACAGCCTTATAGAAAGCCTGGTGACCCCTGGTCCTCACAGAGCCCGGACTAGACAGTGTGGAAGAAGCCGCATTTCAAGCTGTTTGGTTGGAGTAGGTGCTGGAGACGATCTTCAGTCCGCAGTCCAGCAGCCAGAAGAGAACTAGAGGGTTTGTGTATTCAGAAATGCTCTGTCACCTGAGACCAGGCAGACTTCTAAGTAAGTGTGAGACTGTCACAGTACCACAGAGGTGATGTGTCTCAAAGAGCCCCAGGCTTCCCATAATGTCCCCTCCCTCTATCAGGGAGTCAGCCAGTAATTGGTTATTGCCAAGTCAGGAGTGTGAGCAGGGCCTAGGGAAACAGAGCTCCCAGGGTTACTCGGCAGCAGGAAGATGGGCTCCTCCTTTCAAGTGACCCAGCCACCGCTGCCTTTCTTTGTACCTCCTCCCGCCTCTGGCCACCAGCCAGCTCCTCCAGCCTGGACTCTGGCCCGTTGTGGCCCTCCTGCCTCAGGGATGGCCCTACCTCTTATCCTTTCCGGTGCTGCCTCCCTGCCAGCTGCCCATCCTCTCCCATTGCCCAGGCTATATTCCTGGGAGAATGGTGCTATTCTCTTGTCTGCCCAGAGTTACCACACACAGCTGCGATCTGCCTTGTGGGGTGGTACCCACACTGACACATCTGCCATGAACTTCTCCATCCCAGCCTTCCCTAGCTGCCCAGAGCCTGTCTTCCCTGGAGACTCTGAGTACTATGAAGGCAGAGTCTGGTCCACTTGGGTCTCCAGTGTAATCTGAGGCCCACACAACTAAAACACTCAACAAATATTTATCAGAGCAAAGTGAAATAACCCCTTCAACAGTAGCAATTTTAGGTATATGGTATAGCTCAAATGCAACTTCTTAAACTATGACCAAAGCATTTTTACATGGCTTTAAAATTCATTTCCTTAAAAAAAAATTGTGAAATGTTTCAATATAAAGAAAAATATAAAGAACAATCATGTAAAGATTGTTTTATCCACCACCAAGTTTTATCAAACCTTTTGCTTTGGCTTTATCACTGTTATATTTTTTAAAGATATAAAGTATTACAGAAGAGTTGAAGTTCCCTGTTCACCCTTCCCCAATCTTCTCCCTGTTCCTCTCTCCCTAGGGATGACCCTACCCTGCATTCACTATCATTTTAATGAATTCTAATAATATCACTACATTTGAATGTACTCCAAAATATACAATATTGTAGTGTTTTGTTTTTGAGGCAGAGTCTTACTCTGTTGCCCAGGCTAGAGTACCATGGTGTCAGCCTAGCTCATAGCAACCTCAAACTCCTGGGCTTATGCAATCCTCCTGCCTCAGCCTCCTTAATAGCTGGGAATACAGGTGTGCACTACCATACTTAGCTAACTTTCTTTGTAGCACAGACAGGGGCTCACTTTACTCAGGCTGGTCTTTAACTCTTGAGCTCAAGCAATCCTCTTGCCTCGGCCTCCTAGAGTGCTAGGATTACAGGCATAAGCCACCACGCCTAGCCTGTACTATTTGTTTTTAATAATATTGTTCTGAAACTTGTTATTTTTGCTTAACATTATGCTTTCGATATTTATCCATGAAGTTATGTTCATTCATTGTAACTAGTGAAGTGTATTCCATTCTGTGAATATACCACACTTTGTCCACTCTCCGGCTGATCAGCAGGTTGTTAGCACTTTTCTGTTACAATGAACATTCTTGTGCATGACCCCATATGCACTTGTAGCAAAACTACTCTAGTAGCAAAGCTACTAATTGCTGATTAGTAGCAAAGTAAAAATACCAACTTCTTCTTTTTTTTTTTTTTTTTTTTTTGCAGTTTTTGGCCTGGGCTGGGTTTGAATCTGCCTCCTCCGGTATATGGGGCCAGCTCCCTATTCCTTGAGCCACAGGCGCCGCCTTCAACTTCTTTTTTTAGACAGTCTCACTCTGGTGCCCTGAATAGAGTGTCATGGTGTCATAGCTCAGAGCAACCTCACGCTCCTGGGCTCAAGTGATCCTTTTGCCTCAGTTTTTCTATTTTAAGACAGGGTCTTGCTGTTGCTCAGGCTGGTCTTGAATGCCTGAGCTCAAGCAATCTACCCACCTCAGCTTCCCAGAGTGCTAGGATTATAGGACTGAGCCACCGCTCTCAGCCAAAAATACCAACTTTTTTAGCTATAGAAATGTTTTTCACAGGCCTTTACTAATTGATACTTCCAGTAGCAGTTTAGGGACACTTCCGTTGTTTACCAATTTTTAGGATTTTCAGACATTTTAACTTCTGCCAACCTGATGGAGGTGAGGTGGCATCTCATTTCTTTGAGTCAAGCTTCTATTCCTATGTGTCCATTTGGGTTTCTGCTTTATGAATTGCCTGTGCTTATCTTTTGTCCATTTTTCTTTATTTTTATTTAATTTTTGTTAAATCATAACTGCATACATTTACAGGGTACAATGTGGAATGCTTAAATCAAACTGATCAACATAACCATCACCTCGTTTACTTATTTTTTATAGTAAGACATTTATAATATACTCTTAGTTGTTTTGAAATGTACCCTTGCATTGTGCCCATTAGGTGAGATCCCACCAAATACCCTCCCTCCTCCTACTCTCCCCCTTCCCCTCTCCTCTCCTTCCTCTTCCCCCCTTCTTGCTGGACTATATTTGTGATTTATCATTTGTTTGAATTATCTATTGTGATTTTCTATTGGTTTCATAATAGTATTGAGTACATTGGATACCTTTTTCCCTATTCTTGAGATACTTTACTAAGTGATTATCTATTGGTTTCATAATAGTATTGAGTACATTGGATACCTATTTCCCCATTCTTGAGATACTTTACTAAGAAGAATATGTTCCAGCTCTATTCAGGTAAACATAAAAGATAGAAAGTCTCCACCTTTTTATGGCTGCATAATATTCCATGGTATACATATACCAAAATGTGTTAATCCATTCATGGGTTGACGGGCATTTGGGCTGCCTCCACAACTTGACAATTATGAATTGGGCTACAGTAAACATTCTGGTGCAAATATCTTTTTTGTAAAATAATTTTTGTTCATCTGGGTAGATACCTAGTAATGGAACTGCAGGATCAAATGGTAGGTCAACTTTTAGTTCCTTGAGAATTCTCCATACTTCTTTCCAAAAAGGCTGTATTAGTTTGCAATCCCACCAGCAGTGTAGAAGTGATCCCTTCTCTCCACATCCATGCTAGTATCTGCAGTTTGGAAATGTTGTGATGTGGGCTAATCTTCCTAGAATTAGATGATATCTCAAAGTGGTTTTAATTAAAGATGATGAGCATTTTTCCATATGTTTGTTGGTCATTCGCCTGTCATCTTCACAGAAGTTTCTGCTCAAATCTCTTGCCCACAAAGAAATGGGATTGTTTGTTCTTATTAATTTGAGTTCTCTGTAGAGTCTAGTCATCAGACCTTTGTTGGAATCATAACCTGCAAAAATCTTCTCCCATTCTGAAGGCCATCTGTTGGCTTTAGTTGCAGTGCCCTTAGCTGTGCAGAAGCTTTTTAGCTTGATCAGATCCCAGGATTATATTTTTGGTGTTGCTTCAATTGCCAGGAGGGTCCTCCTCATAAAATATTCTCCCAGGCCAATTTCTTCAAGCATTTTTCCTGAACTCTATTCTAGGATTCTTATAGTTTCATGTCTTAAATTTAAATCTTTTATCCAGTGAGAATCACTTTTTGATAGTGGTGAAAGGTGAGGGGCCAGTTTCAGTCTTCTACACATTGCTAGCCAGTTGTCCCAGCACTATTTGTTAAATAGGGAATCTTTTCCCCAATGTATATTTTTGTTAGGCTTATCAAAGATCAAATGATGATCTTTTGGGTTGTTTTGTTCTTTTATTCATTTGTGAGTTCAAATATTAATTTTTAAAATTATATTTATTGCAAATATCTTTCCAAGCCATCGCTTATTTTATGATTTATTTATGTGTCTTGTTGAACAGAAGTTTTCATTTTAAGATAATCAGCTTTATCAATCTTTATCTTGGAGAGAACTAAAATCTGTCCAAACTATGAACATGGCATATCTCTAGTTTATTGAGGTTTACATTTATATTCTTCAAACAAATTTTATAAATTTCTCCACATAGAGCTTGTACATTTTAGTTAGATTTTTCCACCTAGGTGTCTGGGTGTGTTTGGGTTGCTATAACCGAACCATAGACTTGGTGGCTTATACACAACAGAAATTTATTTCTTATAGTTCTGGAGGCTGGGAAGTCCAGGGTCAAGGTGTTGGCAGATTTGGAGTCTAGTGGAGGCCCACCTCCTGGTTCACAGATGGCCATCTTCTCACTGTGTCTTCAGTGGTGGAAGGGGCTCTCCTAGGTCTCTTTTATAGGACAGCTATCACCTTCCAAAGGTCCCACCTCCTAATAATACCTTAAAGGTTAGATTTCAATATATGAATTTGGGGGAAGGAAACAAACTTTCAGATTATAGCACCAGGTATTCTATAAATGTTTTTTTGCAGCTTTTGGCTGGGGCTGGGTTTGAACCCACCACCTCCAGAATGTGGA